TTACTTTATTTAAAATTGCTTTGTAATTTAACATATAATTATGATTGTTTTATTTAAATGATCAAAGTATATTTTGTGATTTGCCACTATTGCTTTGTGAACTGATGACTGTGGAGTTTATTCTCAAAAAAAAAAAAAAAAAAAAAAAAAAAAAAAAAAAAAAAAAAAAAAAAAAAAAAAAAAAAAAAAAAAAAAAAAAGAGTTAGTGTTATTATAAGAGTTATAAAGTGTTATAGAAATTTAAGACGAAGTAATTAGTGTTGTAACCATTCATGGGGTGGGTGCTTCAGGTACCAATGGATTTACGGGGGGGTCGAAATATACTGCCAAGAAATGGTTTGGGATTTTTAAAAAGGAAAACAAATCATGAGTTTTCAATCTTTATTGCCCAAGATTGAAGGTTATGTGGTTGGCTGCTTTTTGGGAATACCATGTATATTGACGAAGACTCTACAAGTTTCATGGGCCATTTTAACCGTTAGATTAGAATTAATCTAACAGCAGCCCCCCCAAACCCGCTTTGGATATGCAAACTTAAGTGCCATACTTTTTTTTTTTTTTTTTTTTGATCGGTATCCATATTTTGTTTCTTGCTTTTATGTCAAAGTGCCGACTTTGCTATGATGAGTATTCTAAGGGTGTGAGGTCCAAGACCGTTAATTTTGATATTTGTTGATCATGGTAGATTCGAACCTAGTGCCTTCTTTGGATTTCAGCCGTCGGATCACACACGCATACACACATTCATATGGTTGTGTATTGATCTAACGTGATCAGGGCTATGTTTGGTAAAAATAGGTAATGGGTGATAAGCTAGCTTATAAGTGATTTTCGACTTTATAGCTTATAATTTATGACTTATAACTGAAAAGTTGGCTTATATTATAAAAGTGTTTGGTAAAATTTGTTGATAAAGCTGAACCCTCGACTGGCGGCTTCGGGTGGGTGTGGGCCCCTTTGTAGATGATCTCGGTGACGTGGATCGCTCGACTTTCTTCTTCACGGGGCAGTTCGTGTGGGTGCGTTTGTAGTAGCTCCGCGGGTACTCGCTCCCTTTGACCTGCTTCTGGCCGTATTTGAAGTGCCGGCAGCATTAGGGAGAGTGGGGTCTGCCTCGTCATCGAGTGGCGGGGAAGTGTTCTTGGGATGAGTGGAAATTCCAAAACCGGGAAAAGCGTGTGCCTGCTCGGTCGAGAGAAAAAGGGAATATTTGAACTTGCTCTGTTGAAATTAGGAACTGATTTGGACTCGGCAGTAGGTTTGAAAGATCTTCAAAAGCATTATTCTCCATACACTTGTTATCAGATTCATCTGTTATCATCATCATTGTCGAGTTTTGGTTGTTACACCCTGAGCAAATGAAATTTTCCAGTTGTTGGGGATGGCTGAACCTGCACATTATGTAGAGCATTTAGATAATCAGTTGAACAATTTAATAACGCATATAAGAACAATCATGAATTTACAGTAGTAATATATTCTTAGGAGTAACTTTTTTAAGCAACACTTACAAAAATCCAAAGGCAATAACTACATAGTCAGCTTTTATGCTATATATTGTTATAAACAACAATTCAAGACCATCACAAATGTAACTCCATTTATTTATATACTTATCCGATATAATAAAACTCACCAGCGAATTAGTTAGGAAAACAGGGGAATCGAACAGAGTAGTTGGGCTAGGACCAGGTGGTATCATAAAAAAGGAAACTGGACTTTTTGCCCAANTACTTTCCGTATTTAGCCTCGGAGCATTAAACCCAGCTCTGGCAGCCCTTCTCTCCATAAGGCCTCCACCACGTGAGCTCGTTTTGGGCTCACTTGATCCATCGCCTGGTGTGTTGATTTGGGCTTTAGGTTTATTCTGTTCATACTGTAATTCGGGCTCTTGAAAATAGGGTCATTGATGAAAAAAGGGACCTTGGGCTCGAACTTGGAGGCATCCAATCTCCCGTGATAGCAACATGATCATCAAAATCCCCACCACCCATGTTTTGCTCCATGTTTTGATGCTGATTTCGTGTTGGAAAAACATTGTGGTTAAAGGCAACAATGCTCTTTTCAGACCATTGAATAAAATTGTTTTGAATTTGTATCCTTCTCTTTCCTTTTGTTTTTTAATCTCGTCAGATTCTGTCTGTCCTCCTTCCTTTTATCCTGTGAATTTAACATTACGATGTTTTAATATTTTAATTTAGAAAGAGCAGTCTGTTCGACAGTAAAATGAAAATGAATAGAGAAGAGAATTCTCCACGTTCGCTAAGGTCGAGTCAATTGAAAAAATAAAAAAAATCCCTTAGGGTTGTCCGAACGCGTCTAGAATTCTCACCAAGTTTCAATAAAAATATCAAATGTTGCTGCTATATATGATGGGTGTATGTTAATATCGGACCCGGGCTCTCTAAGAATATTATCGACCCGAAAATGAGAGCATTTGGGCCGACCCACCCGTTTATAGATTCTGCTACTCAAAGTCGAACAGAGAACTGATCAAGGGCCAAGTTCCGTACGTAATCTCGGCGTAAATGTGACTACGATCAAACAATTTTGGACCCCAACAAGGACTTATTCTTCAAAGGTGCATTTTATTGGGTTTTTCATGGAGATTTTTGTTTCTTTGATTTCGTTAGGCTAAGTGGCTCACATCTAATTGGATGATAAGCTCCACAGCAATTTTTTCAATTTTTTTTTTAAATACTAATTACATTATTTTGTTATCATATGTTTTATAAAATATTAATATTTTTATTTAGACTTAGGGGTGTGTATTTATTGTATATTGAGACATTTATTTTGTAGGTAGCAAATAATTGCCCATGATATTAATAAAAAAAGAAACTCACAACATGAATAAAGCTTGATAGACAAAAACACGGTTTGTTTTTAAAACTGAGAGTTGACAAGCACAAATCATCCATGTAAAACATAATCTTAGTTAACCGGAGGAGGCAGACGGGACCATCTGTCAGCAGTTTCAAGAGGTGGGCCGCCAGAAGCCTCCATTCTTTTGAAGCTTGGCACAAATTTTCCGGCTACCGGTGGCTGTGTTGCCTCCACAGGTGGCGGCTTAGGAGGAGCAATTGGGGTAGTTGATCGTGTGGACCTCCCCAGGATTTCTTCCCTGCGCTTCCTCTCTTTCTCCTCTATTTCATCAAGCTTTGCTTTCCTCTCAGCCTCTTCTTTCTTTCTCCGCTCCATCTCTGCCCAACAGTCATATTACTACTATGTAACCAAATTTATGAAAAAGATGCTATCTTCATACTGAAAATGGAATTGGTTTTTACCTTCACGCTTGCGTGCTTCCTCCTCTTCATGCAACCTTCTCTGCCTCTCCTCTTCGCATCTCAAGAAAAATATTAACTTCCTATTGGCCTCGCGTTCTTCTCTCCGTGTCTGGATAATACTTGCCGACATCTTTTCTCTATCGGCCTTGAGCGACTCGTATTTGGATTTCCGAAGGTTCAGCACTTGTTCTTGGAATATTTTCTGTCAAAAATTAGCAGACCCATTTTAATCTAACTAACTGGTGGGTATAAAAGATAAAACAGATGACAGCAAAATCACATAATTGGCCCCTGAGGATATAAAAATGGACCCATTTTTATACCATATATTCGGATATTATAAATAACAACTTATTTCCTACCAAAAATTAAAATGATCATAAGAGCTTCAAATAAAATCGGTCACTTTATACCAAAATCAGATCTATTAATTTTTATACCATAAATTGATTAACTAATTTCTAGAGCCAAATTTTTGAAAATTTTCAAAAAATTACCAAGTTTAGTAATTTTAAAAATTTTAAGCAGAATTTCTGCGTAGATAATATAAAATATTACATCTTTTTTCTAATTATACGTATGTTAAACAATGTTCAAATTCATCATTTATTTTCAAATGTATTCGACAATAATATTTTAATTTGATTTTTTTAAAAAGTCATCACTTGTGAGTCTGTAACATCAATCATCCATCACTTCACAGCCGATACGATACACACCCTAGACGAGTGCAATTTTTTTTTTTTTTTTCNACTCTCTAAAATTGGTAATGACATGCCCAAAAAACCAGAAAATAAAGGCAAATGCCATTATTAAACGTCCCAAGAAAACTCCTACAAGTCGATATTTGTTAAGCTGGGGAGTGCTGTGATGTCTTGTACTCTGACATTTCAGCTCTGTACCTTTCTTTGTCTCTCAAACCTTTGTCTTGATATACCTGAATGCATACACCATCATACACAAAGTATTGTGTCAAATAAAAAAAATAAAAAAATATATTGTTATGGAACTCGAAACCATTTTTCCGAGTTTCTAACAAGCAAGATAAAGCGATTATGTTCGACAAACTGAAGAAGCATTTTCCATTTTCATAATGATGAATCAGAGCCTGTACATGCAGAATATATGATGATGATGATGATACCTGTTTCTCAGAGTCTGTCAATCTACTCCACAACTGACCGATTTTTTTACTGATGGCTCGTTCTTGGCCATGGTACATCGGCCTAAGCCTATGGTACTGCTCGGAGAAAAAGAAAGTGTACCCACTTCTGCTTCTTTTAGGGCGAGCTGGATCTCTAAACGCCATATGCTTTCTCCTCGAATGATGATGATGATGATGAACGAGCTCAGTAGAAGAACTTAAACTCGTGGATGCATTTTGTGCCTCGGGTGAGTGATAAAGTATGCCTTTCAAATTCTCACCTCCAAATTTAACAGTCACCATATAACCGAAATCGAATTTTCCATCAATTGTTCCTGTTACAAGACTGCCGTTCTCCATGTTCGGATTCTCTGTATACACATATTAGACCATGTTGATTAAAACTTTTCTTTTCTTAGTTTTTTCAATAAAAAAAAAAAAAAGAAAAGAGTTATGCTCATGCCCTTTGGAACTCAACTTTTGATTCTTATAGTGAATAATATGTAGAAAATTTTGAGGCAGTTAGAAAGAGTTTTAAAGCTGTTGTGACTGCAAATAAAGATGAAAACGTGATGGTGATGATAGATGGTATTTGATGAGATGGAATATTTGGTGATAAAAAATCAGTTTGTCGAAAAGAGATTTCAGTAAAATATTGAAATACGAAAAAACCATACATAAACGAGTAACAAAACAAACAATCCACCTGTAAGATGATTGGATGCGGCCCCATCATGAGCATGTGGCAATGCAGGTATATCCGAACTCCAAGTTGCTTATTTTTTTTAAAAAAAAAATATTATTAATTAGTAATTGAGCAATAAGGATAAAGTCGAAGCTATACATGAACATTAACCATAACACAATGTTTTGAAGATTACCAGGAGATGAAGAAGTGTTACGCTCCGCTTTATGGAAATAATAAACCTGCTCAAAATGTAAAAGCAAAGACAGATAATACTTGCGCAAGACAAACGAGGCATTCGTGATTGTTGATGGGAAATGAAAGGCTCCAATAACTTCCTTCCATCTGCGATCTTCAATAACCTGTATATATCGAAATGCAAGAGTTTGGAAAACAAACTCAGAACAAGAAAAAGTTTATCAAAACAAACCCCTAACCGAGCAAAGACAATAAGTAGATCTCAGTCCAACACAGCCAGTTACACAAAATCTTCTATTTGTTGCAATTTAGATAAGGTCTTACCGAAAATCAGTATAATCTGTCTCCATTTGACATGATGGGCAACTAAAACCAATTTTGTTTAGATGGAGAATAATTTTGCCCAATCGGGGGGTTTTATAATGATATTATTAATGGTTCTTATTCTATTTATTTCTTTATTTCTTTAATTTCTGTAAGGTAGAAGCAAACATGTTAACACAGGACACTGTAATTTGCAAATGTAAAAGAAAGTGCACCTTTTCAATGCCACCACGAGAGGTCACTTCTATAAAGAGACGATGTAAATCCAATTTGTTTCCTCCTAAAGTAGGAACTCTACACAAAAGCAAAAAGAAAGGGCCGCATATTAGTAAAAATATACGATAATGCTCCAAATTCTATATGAAAAGAGATAAACGGGAGAAGCATAATACTACTAAAACATGGAGGTGAGACTATATTCAAGGAAATAAATATGATACAGTGAAGCTTTTCACAGACTTGATCTGAAAATCAAACCATCACTTTTTCAATGGCTAACATTTTTTCATAGTACAAATAGAACTCATGTCAATGGCTAACATTTTTTCATTGGGCTTTTCAGTTCCATCTTGATTACAACTCTAATTATTTAACATTAAAGTAGTAAATGAAACAAAGTTAAAGCAAGAGAAACTTTGAAATCCAACAGTTCTTTCCCTAAAGCCAGCATTATTATTTGCTGTAGCAGGTAGAGTACTTTCAAGTCCATCAAAGCAAAGATTAAAGAAAGAAAATGTATACATTTTCAGCTAGAAGCTTGGAGCTAGTTCTAGAGTTTCTAGGCACTCCTCTAGAATATGAAGTCGAGCCAAAAGCTAAGAGCCACTAACTTTTAGATTCCACTAACACATTTCATGCACAAATTTTTCGCCATGGTTAGGACCAATACAATGTTCTACTCACACATCATCTGTCTACAAAACTAACCAAAAAAGAAAAAAGAAAAAAAAAAAAGAAAACCCTAAAACACAACAATTAATATAAGTTAATCAGCTTCAAAAATTCAAACACCATCCCAAAACCCAT